GGTGTAAAAATATTTTGCCTTGCCTGATGATTCTATAACCAAAGTGAAAGAAACCACAACTACACTTAATTTTAAATTCACAAATAGAGAAGTTGGTGATGAGAATGTTTTCAACATGTGGTATAATTCTAGGAAGCATTTTAGGGCAATATATTATTTTTTAACATTGAATATATAATGAGCCGATTTGTTATTTTCTAAATTGCTTAATTGCTCACAATCTTACTCTTATAGGTAGTATTCATAACTTTTCAGTTTATGTATTTTTTAAATAGTAATCTGAGGATCACTTGCATCAGAGTCACTTGGGTAATCAATAAAAATGCAGATTTTCGGGTTATACTTTAGACCTATTGAATCAGCATATCTCAGAATAGAGCCCAATAATTGCTATTACTAACAAGCTATCTGGGAGTTTCTTACCCATACTAATGTTTGAAAATCACTCTGGGAAGCATTTTGAAAATTAATAGAAAAACCTCCTTCATTACTTTTTCATGTATTATAACCTCAAACTATATGTTAAACAGAAAAGAAATAAAATGTCAATCTATCTAGTGACCTAAAACCTAAAGCTTGACATAAATATTCATTCTTTTCCCTGGGGAAGCTGAATGGATTCTGATAGTTTATACTTCTAGTCAGTGGAGTAAATAAAGGATTTGCATTTGTCAGGAATTTATTTGAAATAGCCTAGTTAACTGGATTATAGTTACCAGAAATTAAAACACTAATATGGGAATATAATTTTAGAAACACAATTTTATTTAAGGAACTCCGGTTGGGAATATGGGTTGAATTAAATTCGTAAACTAAAAAAAAAAAAAAAAAAAATTGAGGCAAACCACACAGTCTTTTATCCACTATGTCATTACAATTGGTTAAGGTACTAATCTAGTTTTGTATCTATGGCCTGTCCCAAATGTATAAAGAAATCATTTCTTGAAATTTTTTTGGCTATTATTTTAAAAAAATAGCATATTTTAGTAACTATTTTTAGGATAAAGGAGGAAAAACAATATAAGAAAAGCAAAGAAATAGCTCTTCATTAATTAGATTTATTAGCTTGATATTTTATTTTTTATTGAACTGTCATGGAATAAACAGATTTTTTAAATTAATTGGTCTGAAAATGCATTGACTGACATATTGTTCCTTTTATCTATTTTACTTGCAATCTAATGCAATTCCTGATGGTCTGTTAATTTCCTAACATTTAAACTTAACTACTAAGCTGTCCTCTGTAAGAGTCATAGCATTCTGTAGGGTACAGATCCATAGTGAAGCACACTGGCACCATCCTTCTGAACCATTCCAAAAAATTTTACATGATCATGTTTTACAGCTAACAAAGCTAAACTATTTCCACACAAATTTTTCTATATGTGTTTATGACTTTATATTTCTCCAGACACATGGATATTTTTCAAGTTATGTAAAATTCCCTAAGGCACTGATACATGTACCTTCATGGTTGATAAATATCAGCCCCTATTTCCACAAAAATGGCAGACTTGTTATTTAATTTCTTAATTTATTTAGTGATCCAGTTTCATTCTACATTACCAAGTTACATACAGGACACCGTCTTTGACTGTGGACCCAGAATCATGTCAACACATCTCGCTCTGTAGTCAAGACTGGGGATTTTAAAAACCATGATGACTATAGTGGATTGACAGGGCAATGCCGATCGGCTGACATAAAGGGGGTTAGGCAGTTTGAAGACAAGCCAGGAAACTAACTCTAGTGTGGCCTACTCTTTAGATTTTGGCTCCAGGCCGTCAATTTTAATGTCTTGTTCACCCTCAGGCAAACTGGGAACTACTGGCACTGTAAAAACACATCTTCGTTACTAGTTTCAACTCTAACACAACTTATAAAGAAGTAACCTTTGTTAAACTATTTTTTTATAGTAAGAGCAATGTAATCTTCTTGGAGAACATTTGGGAAATATATAAAGGTTACAAGGAGAAAATAAAATTATCTCTATCCCATCTAACCAAATAGCATGTGAATTTTTTATACATATTCACATACATCCACCCACGTGTATCTTTGTATGTGCATGTTTTAAATTAAATATTTTCATGGAAATACAACAGACACACAAGAGTGCATGAATTACAAATGTATAGCTCAAGGAATTCACTACACAGAACAAGAAACAGCACTCCAGAAGTCCATCCTTCTGATCTCCCAGTCCTTACTCTACCTCCTCTCCCAAAATGACCACTATCCTGACTTCTATCCCCATAGAGTGGTTGTGTCTGTTTCTGAAATGTATATAAATGTAATCCTGTAGTATGCATTCTTTGGGGTCTGACTTCTTTCATTCAACTTTATGCTTATGAAATTCATCCATGTGATTACCTGTATCAGTAGTTTGCTTATTCTGTATATTATTCCACTGCATGCCTAAACTACAGTCTATATAACCAATCTCCTATCGATGGGCATTGGATTGTTTCCAGGTTTTATCTGTGTCTCACTGCTCTAACCATCTTCATAGAGGTCTTTAAGTAAAATTTTTTATTGTTTATTGAACTATTAAATATAGAAATATATATAAATCATATGTGACTAGCTGTATGAATTTTCAGAGTTATCACACTGATGTAATCATAACACAGATAAAAAAATAAGCCACTACCAGTGCCCCAGAATCCCCTACTATGCCCAGTAATTTTGTGATGAAAAATTATAGAGGCTTGAGATAAAGTTATATTGTTCAAAAGGGGATTTACTTTTGCTTCTGTTAACATAGGAAGCAACAAACAAACAAGCCCATTGTCATAGACCAGATTATGACTCATGGCAATGCCATGTGTGTCAGAGTAGAAATATGTTCCATAGGGTTTTCATAGCTGTGACCTGTCAGAATCAGATCACCAGGCCTTTCTTCTGAGGCACCTCTGGGTGGGTTTGAACTGCCAACCTTAAGATTAGTAGCCCAGTGTTTAATCATTTGTGCCGCCCAAACCAAAAACAAAATCCTTGCTGTCGAGTTGATTCCCACTCATAGTAGAACTACTCCATAGGGTTTCCAAAGAGCAGCTGGTGGATTTGAACTGCTGATCTTTTGGTTAGCAGCCAAGCTGTTAACCACTGCACGACCGGGGCTCCTTGTGCCACCCAGTGCCTCCTAAAATAGGTACAGGTCACCTTAATCTGATTAGATTAAGGAGAAAGTAAGAACAGATCACATTAATCCAAAGAGTTTGAGTGTTGGATTTAAGTCTGAATGAGGCCTGGTCTTGAACCAAGCAACGTTTCCTTCTGTTATACATAAGGTCACTATGAGTTGGAACTTACTCGCCGGCACCTAACAACAGCAGCAACAGTTCCAGTGCATCCTTACTTATAGGACATAAAGCTTCAGTGAGTCTAATAGAAAAAACTGGGGTATTTACCAGAACCTCTCCTACTTGGGGAGCCCTGGTGGCATAATGGTTAAGCATTCGGCTGCTAATCAAAATGATCTGCTCTGTTCTATGGGGTCGCTATGAGTTGGAATAGACTCGATGGCAATGGGTTTGCTTAGTCTCCTACGTGGTAGCTGGAAATTCAATTTTTGACTGCTCAGCATCATGACTGTGGCAAGCTCTCTTCAGATTCTCTCATTCTTAGCCACTTCTTTGTGCTCAGCTGTTTGGCCTCTCACCTCACATCACTTATATTCATAGTAGAGATTGTGTTTATATTTATTTTTTCTTTCTCATTTACCTTTTTTTTTTTTAATTTACTTTGTTGTAGTTGTGGAAAATATACACATCAAAACATACATCAATTCAACCATTTCTACATGTACAATTCAGTGATGTTGATTACATTCTTTAAGTTGTGCAACCATTCTTACTCTCTTTTCTGAGTTGTTCCTCCCCCATTAACATAAACTCGCTGCCCCCTGCCCCTCACTGCCTGCTATCTAGTCTTTTGAGTTGCTGTTGTCAGTTTGATCCCATATAGATAGTTCTTAAAAAAACATAATGTTCAAGGCAGACTTTTTTTTCTAGTTAAGCTAAACTGTGTTTATATTTTTTTAAACAAAAGTTGGATTGTATTGAGTTTGGAGTTCTCATGACAGTCTCATACTGCTTTTTCTTCTTATTTTTTATTTACATGTTATTAAGTATTTTAATATATCACAATAGAATTTTTTTCCAGCAGAGGGTTCTTTCTTTCTCTGGCTTTGCTCTTAGCCTTCTGTGATTTGCCCCACACTGTGACATGCAAGGTGGAGGTCACATGCTCCTCTCAGAGTTTGATTAGAGAGAGCAGTTCCGACTTGAGTCACGTATGAACATGTTTCTTGATTGTGCGAAAGTCATCGACACACATAATATTCTTTGGTTCCAACAAACTAGGGTTTACCTTTTAATGAAGAACCACATGCTACAGTCACCTTTACCTGCTTAACATCTCCTTAAGCTGTATGGTCATGAGGTAATCATTTAATGACTAGTGTCTGGTCCTCAAACTCTTGATTTACATGTGAACCTACAAAATTACTAATACAGTATTTTATGATAACATTAGTTTACCTAGAAATATCCATTTGATGTATCATTCTACTTTATAATGTGCTAGTTTTATTTTTAAACAGGGCAAACTGTAAGTAGTAAAAAGTAGAGAAATGGTACATTTCAGAGAAAAAAGTGTGTGTGTGTATAAACAAAAGTTTGCCACCCGTAAACCATGAACACGATAAAGGTAAAATCACTTTCCGAAAGTAAGACCCCAGGAAATGCTTGACATTTTCGAGAAGATGTTTGCCCTTTAATATCATCATTTGCTTCTCCATCTTTTTTTTTGTTTTTTTTTTGAGGTGTTTGAAAATTGCAAGCTGCTGCTGCTTCTTTCTTTCTTTTTTTTAAAGTTAAGGGATAGGAATAGTAATAAGACACCTTTCAGATAGAACAGTGCTAGGATGACCACTTAAATGACTTCAAAATAAAAATAGCTCTTCTCACATTTACTTTTTTTTTTATTTCTTTCAGACCTCAACTGCCACAGTAAATGTGGTGGTGACTGATGTCAATGACAATGCTCCCGTGTTTGATCCTTATCTGCCTAGAAATTTGTCTGTGGTGGAGGAAGAAGCCAATGCCTTTGTGGGTCAAGTAAGGGTAAGTGGTATATTTATATATCTATCTTAAACACGTTTCTAGAGTGCATATTTTTCTTATGTTTTAATTTTGAAAAGAGATTCGGCTAATGAAATCCGTTAAATGATGGAGCAACAGAATTGTTTAAAAGCAATTAGTAAGATCAGTTGAGTGTAAAGCAACACAGTAACAATGTGCATTCACTTTGATCACTGCGCTGGATACCATCAAGACATTTTTCATTGATTTACATTTTATAATTTAAATATCAATTAATTTAGGATTATTCCTTTCTTATTTAATGTATGTTTTCATTTCCTGGAATCATAATGGAATATTTTAAAGAAATATATAATTAGCTGTATTATTAAGTATGGATTTGAAAATTCATACTTCAAAATACATATCTTTTTATGTAAATTCACTTGATGGTGTAAACATATCTTTAGTATACAGTATGCACCTTACATTTCATACACACCCCTTGTCCAGCATATTCAAGATTCATTTCTGGGCATGTTCTCCTAGTTCCTGCCTGAACATATTACCCAGGTCCTACAGTTATTTTGATGAGTAACTCCTTTACTCCAAAACAGAGACAGTTCTTCCCTAGTTGGTCCATGCTCAACTTGAACATAGTTAGTGCTCTAGATCCCCAACGGTAGGGTAAATTTTGAGGGTAGGCTGTATGTTTTTAAGCATCTACCTCAGATGAGGCATCTGTGTGGTCTCCAAGCAAGAAAAGAATCCTCTTCTAGCAAGGAAAAATGAGCCACCAGGTGCCCCAGGTCCAGGTTTCAAGGTCCCACTCTGTGATCCTTTAAGGTTGTGTGTCAGCTTGGTGGGCCATGATTCTCAGTGGTTTGGCAGTTATGATGTAGTTTGTCAGTCATGTAACTACCTCCATGATGAGATCTGATATAAAGTGATCACTTACATGATGAGATCTGCTATGAGTAGCCAATCTGTTGAAAGGGAGTTTCATTAGGGGTGTGGCCTGCATCCAATATAGGTGGACTTTCTGGCAAAGCTCATGGGCTTTTGCTTGCTCTGGATCCTGCAGCTGGCTCCTGTTCACCTAACCTCTGGTTCTTGGGAATTGAGGTAGTGGCTCAGCTGCCAATCTTGGGATTCCTCAGCCTCTGCAGTCTGTGAGCCAGTGGCCTGCCAGCTTACATGCAGATTTTGGGATTTGTCATGAGTCAGGAGAAGCCTCCAGCCTGACCCATGGTCTTGGAACTTTGCAACCTCTACAACTGCGTGAGCCATTTCATTGATATAAATCTCTCTCTCTATATATGTATATATATATTTATATATATATAGACGCTTCACTGGTTTTGCTTTTCTAGAGAACCCAGCCTAAGACACCCTGCTCCCCTTTTAGAGCCCTGACTTTATTCTAGGGAGCTTGCTGGTGCTTTGAAGTAAGCCTTTCTATAATTCAGCTGCTCTTACAATCAGACACAGGACTTGATTTTCAGTCCAGTCATCTCTTTGGCTGCAAAAACCTTCAGGTTTCCTTAAATGCTGTCCTAGAGGCCTTCTGACTTTCACATCAGGCCCTAAATTTTTGATTGGCTAGTCTGAGCCTGTCATTTTTTGTTTTCTTCAGAACATTGACAATACTTATAACTAACCAATTCCACAGTCGTTAAAGTTATCATGATCACCATCTCTCTCAAGTCCTGAAGAGATTGCATAAGACATACATCACCTTCCACCTTTATTCTATCTTAGTTCACTGCAGAGGAGAGTTTTGGTAATTGTGCTGTTAGAATATGCCATGGGTTATCAAAGTGACCTTGATGGCATGTGGTCAGCAAGATTTCAAATCCAGAGTCTTATCTTAGACATCTGCCCTTCCTGCCAATATATATGCTACCAAATATCTTACTTTGGATTCTCTAGATGAAAACCTGGGAACAAAAGATTCAGGTATAAGTAGTTTTTTGAGAAGTTCAGATAACACTAATAGGGAAGTGGAGAAGTGATTCAGAGAAGGGAAGGCAGTCAATAAAGGGATTGCTGTTAAGCCCTCTATCGCAAGGACTGAGCTTATTCCTGAAGGAAAACTCCGGGAAACAGTTCAAAACATGCCTCAGAATCATTTCTCCTAAGAAACAGTGGAACTGAAAAATTCGTACACTAAATCCTGAGAGTCCTTGATGGTGGAGGATGTGGGTGCAAATTTTGGCGCTTTCAGTCTCCTTCATAGGCAAGCTGCCAGCCCTCTGCAATTCTGATATGAGAGCATTCAGTCACACTGCAGATACTAGCAGCTGGAGCTTGTCCAGGGCATACCAAGTGCTCTGAGGCACTGACGTGCATGGGGCACCAACAATTTCTGCTACACCAAGCAAACAAAGTGATGAAATCTATAATGGAGGCATGTGTAGAAAGCATAGAAAAGAGGGTGACACTGAAGTTGAATCATGAAGGATGAATACTGGGAAGTGGAAAGTTGGGTGCTGTGATGGTTAAAGATTGTGTGTTAACTTGGCTGGGGCCATGATTGTCAGTGTTTTTATGTGATCACCTCCATGATGGGATCTGCTTTTGAGTAGCCAGTCTGTTGAAAGGGAGTTTCCTGGGGCAAGTAGCCTGCATCTGAATATAAGTGGATGTTCTGGCTTTTGCCTGCACTGGATTCTACAGTTGCCTCCTGTTCATGTGACCTCCAGTTCTTGGGACTTGAGCTAGCAGCCTACCTGCCAATCTTGAGATCGTCGATCTTCACAGCCCGTGAACACGAGCCCTGCTCTCCAATCTGCTGATCTTGGGTTCACCAGTCTCAGCGGCTACGTGAATCAGAAGAAGTCTCTGTCCTGATCCATGGACTTGGGATGTTCTAATATCTATAATCACAAGAGCTATTTCCTTGATATAATTTTCTCTCTGTATATATTTGTATGCTTTACTGGTTTTGCTTCTCTAGGGAACCCAGCCTAAGATGTTTGGTACGTGGGAGTAGGGTAATTGGCACACCTGCTGCCTTCCTTGGATGTGGTAGCCATTTCTCAGGCTTCCTTTCTGGAATTAAACCCTGATTCCCCATCACCTGTGGTCACCATGGTAGGCATGATGACTACTATCGAAAGTTCATAGGGCAGACATTCGAATGGGTTATCACCGCCACAGGGGGCATGTGATCAGTCCAAGGTTATCTAGAGTCACCAAAGCTGCCGGCATCTGCCCCTGTCCAGGGCAAGAGGGAAGCTCACCTGTCTTAGTTATCTAGTGCTGCTATAACAGAAATACCACAAGTGCATGGCTTTAACAAAGAGAAATTTATTTCCTCACAGTAAAGTCGGCTAGAAGTCCAAATTCAGGGCATCAGCTCCAAGGGAAGGCTTTCTCTCTCTGTTGGCTCTGGAGGAAAGTTCTTCTCATCAATCTTCCCTTGGACTAGGAGCTTCTCCGTGCAGGAACCCTGAGTCCAAAGGACTCGCTCTACTTATGGCACTGCTTTCTTGGTAGCATGAGATCCCCCTGTCTCTCTGCTTGCTTCTCTCTTTTACATCCCAAAAGAAAGGGGCTCAAGACACAATTCAGTCCCATAAATTGAGTCCTGCCTCATCAACACAACTGCCACCCATCCGCCCTCATTAACATCATAGAGGCAGAATTTATGACACATAAGAAAATCGCATCAGATGACAAAATGGTGGACAATCACACAATACCAGGAATCATGGCCCAACCAAATTGATACACACATTTTTTGGGGAACACAATCCAATCCCTGACAGAAGCAGTTGCAAGCAGTCTAGGGAAAGGGAATTCCATGAGTAAAGGCATAGAGTAATGACAGAATGTGACTTGTCATAATTACAAGAAATAAGATTTGTCACATCATGAACATTTCTCTATGCCGTGTTATAGAAGGTGCTAGAGGAACAATTGAAGGGTCTGTTGCTGAGATATGGCATCATCAGATTTGTGTTTTAAAAAGATTATTCTGGAATAGACTGGAATGGGAGATTCTCAACTCCAAAAATATGAATTAGGAGGCAGTTGTAATAACTCAGATACATGAGGCTTGAACTAATATACTACTCTAATCATAATGGCAGTTGCATTACATTACACTTGTCGATCTAGGATGCTGCATTGATGAAGACTGAAAATTAATTTAGTCATCTTTATCAACTATTCAGATAAAACAAATAGGTATTGAAATCATTTAGAATGATTGTCTTTCCCATTTTCCTTAGTTTATTTAGGACTGAAGAGAGCCCATATGGAATATACAACTAATAGCATATAAGTGGAAACCCTGGTAGCATAGTGGTTAAGAGCTATGACTGCTAACCAAAAGGTCAGCAGTTTGAATCTACCAGGTGCTCCTTGGAAACCCCATGGGGCAGTTCTACTCTGTCCTGTAGGGTCACTGTGAGCTGGAATTGACTCGATGGCAGTGGGTTTGGTTTTTGGTTTTAACATATAAGTAGACATCGGCATGATGATCAATTTTCTTTTTCATTTTTCTTAATTTATTTCTTGCTGCTTCCCTTAGTGATTCCTTGTCTTTGAAGAAATTGTAGCATTAAACTTGTTTCTTGTTTCCTAGTTCTTCAATTTGTTGAGAAATAGTCTCTATAATTTGTTCTAGCATTAAAAATTGAAGTATGGGCCCTAGCACTTATAAGTTGATAAAACAGTAATTGTCCTGGTCTTTAGGCAATAACATGCTTTCATAAAAACTAAAATGCTTTTGGAAGTACAAAGGAAGAGGAAAACATCCAAAGGCGGCTGTATCCAACTGATTCTGCACAGTTTCAGAAAAGTTGTAATGTTCATAGAATGGAATTTTGATGCATCATAATGATCTCCTGTTGCTACCTAATGATAGTTATATAATACATTAATTTCACTAAATGACACATGCATCGCTTGTAAAATTTATTTTTAATTGTGATCAAAAACTATTAAGACACACTTAAAACCAAGATACATATACTTAATTATTGTACTGAATTTGAGTTACCAGCTTTATGTTTATATTATAATGATATTTT